GGGAGAGGGAGAAGCAGCCTTCCCCCTGAGCAGAGGGCCCGATGTGGGGCTCGATCCCAGGACCCTGGGATCATGACCTGAGCCGAAGGCAGACACTTAACCGACTGAGCCACCCAGGCGTCCCCGAAGGCAGACTCTTAACCGACTGAGCCACGCAGGCAACCTGGATTTACAAGTTCTATGTGGTTTTGTTGCTTTCCTTCTCTCTGACCTCAATTTCTCTTTCCTTCATTCACCCCACTCCAGCCACACATGCCTCCTTCTGCTTCTGAAACACCTGAGCATGTTCGCAGGGGAATTTTCCAGCCGTTCTTCCCTTTGCCTGAACACTTTCCCCCCAGACATCTAATTGGCTGACTTCCTCACCTTCTTCAGGCTTTTGCTCAAAAAGTCACCTCCACTTGTCATTTCCCTTGGCCATTCTATTCAAAATTGCAACCCTGGGGCGCCTGGGTGCTCCATGGGTTAAGCGTCTGCCTTCCTTTCGGGTCATGATCCCAGGGTCCTGGGACCAAGCCCCACATTGGGCTCCCTGCTCATCAGGGAGCCTGCTTCTCCCCCTCCCTCTGCCTCTCTCCCTTGCTCCTGCTCTCTCTCTCCCTCATGCTCTCTCTCTCAAATAAAATCTTAAAAAAAAAAAATTGCAATCCCAATTCCCATCACCCCTTACAGCTTTCCTTTTGTCAGTAGCACCTACCAGCCTCTGACCCCCCCCCCCATATATTTTATTTATCACTTTGTATCCTCAACACCTGGAGCACGACCTGGGATGTGGAAGGTGCTGAATGAATGAATGGATGAAGGAAGCTGGCCGGGGCATGGGGAGCTCGGCCTCTTTACCGCAGTCACTTCCAATCATAGGCTGGCCGATCAAGTGGCTGACCTGCTGCAAGGAGAGACAAGCTAAGGTCCCAGAGCTGCAGATGCTGCCAAGGTCGCCCCGAGGGCGCGGACAGCGTGGGGGGAGGGGGCGGGCGGGGCGGGGCGGACGCTGCGCCTGCGCCATAAAGGCCGCTGCGCGCACCCGGCCTCCGCTAGCTGCGCACCGCCCACCCCCTCTTCCTCCTCCAAGCTCGTCCAAGTCCGTGTACCCCGCTGCTGTCGCCATGGCCGCGCTCACCCAGAATCCGCAGTTCCAGAAGCTGCAGAAATGGTACCGCGAGCACGGCTCTGATCTCAAC